TTTTAAAAGATTCAAGGAGATATATGTTGACCCATTCATCCTGCATCAGGACCATTTAAATACTTTATGGTCTTGATCAATGCCCCTACTCGGTAGACTCATGTCAACTTGTTATCCACCCGTAATAATGCATTTGCTAAATTAATAACAAAGATCATTGAATTACGAGATCAATTTACTGATTTTCCAATTAAATCTATTCGTATAGATAATGCTGCCGAGTTCACATCCAAATCATTTGATGATTTTTGTATGGCATTGGGTATTAAAGTAGAGTATCCAGTTCCTTATGTCCACACTCAAAATGGTTTAGCAGAATCGTTAATTAAGAGGATCAAATTAATTGCTAGGCCATTATTACAAAATTCAAAACTACCTATTTCTTGTTAGGGACATGCCGTTTTACATGCTGCTGCGTTAATCCAAATACGACCCACTGCATATCATGATTATTCCCCCTTACAACTAGTGCGTGGGAAAGAACCAAACATTTCCCATCTGCGTGTTTTCGGATGTGCAGTTTATGTTCCAATATCACCACCCAAGCGTACCTCTATGGGCCCTCAGCGAAAGGTAGGTATATACATTGGTTATGACATGGGATCAATTTACTGCTCAGTACGTTGATTGCATATTCGATGAAGATCATTTCTCGACATTAGGGGGAGATAAACACAAAAAATTAAATGAATTTCGGGAAATATCATGGTATGAAAAAGATCTTCAATATTTAGATCCACGTACTAGTCAGTATGAACTTGAAGTTTAGAAGATAATTAATTTGCAAAATTTAGCAAATAAGTTGCCAGACGTATTCACTGATCACAAAGGAGTGACCAAGTCCCATATTCCTGTTAAATGCACCACAAAGAGTGGAAATCCCACAGGGACTGAGTATATCAAATGATGCTCCACTACGCCAGAAGCGTGGGAAACCGATCGGTGCGAAAGATAAGAATCCGCAACAAACTAAATATAATAAAGAAAGCCAGTCACTCCCAAAACCTCCTGAAGAGGATCATCCTGAAGGCAAAAGCCCCAGTAAAATTACACCTGCACTTGATAATCATCGCACTGGGGTTGCGGTTGCGGAACAACCAAATCCAAATGTTATGGGAAATGATGAAGATTTGGTGGATATAAACATAGAAGTAGCTACAAATTTTGTGAATACCGAAAAAACATATAATAGAAATATAATAGTTGTCGACAACATATTTGCCTCCACGATTTCTCTTTTCATCTCCAATGATAATCTGGATCCAGAGCCTAAGTTAATAGTAGAGTGCCGGAAGCGCTCAGACTGGGAGAAATGGAAAGAAGCAATAGAGGTAGAGCTCAGCTCGCTAAATAAAAGAAAAATATTCGGACCTGTAGTCCATACACCTAATGATATTATCCCTGTAGGATATAAACAGGTCTTTGTACGAAAAAGAAACGAGAATAATGAGGTGGTGAGATACAAAGCGAGATTAGTAGCTCAAGGGTTTACGCAGAGACCCGACATTGATTTTAATGAAACATAGTCTCCGGTTATGGATGGTATTACGTTCCACTACTTAATATCAATGATAGTAACAATGAATTTAGATATGCAGTTGATGGATGTCGTGACCACATATTTATATGGGTCACTGGACGCTAATATTTATATGAAAGTCCCTAATGGACTTAAAATCCCTGAATTGAGAGAAAACGGGAATCGCAACATGTATAGCATTAAATTACAAAGGTCGTTATACAGCTTGAAACAGTCGGGTAAAATATGATATAATCGACTGAGTGAGTTCCTCTTGAAGAAGGGATATGCAAATAATGACGTCTGCCCTTGTGTGTTTATAAAGAAATCCGAAAATGGCTTCTGTATCATCTTAGTCTATGTTGATGATATAAATATTATTGGAACGCACAAGGAGCTTACAGAAGCTAGCTCATGGCTAAAGATGGAGTTTGAAATGAAAGAATTGGGAAAAAACCAAGTTTTGTCTCGGCCTGCAGATTGAGCATTTCCCAGAAGGAATTTTTCTATACCAGTCGACCTACGTGAAAAAGGTTTTGGAAAGATTTTATATGGATAAATCTCATCCACTTAGCATATCAATGGTCGTTCGGTCCCTCGAAGTGGATAAAGACCTATTTAGACCCAAAGAAGATAATGAAGAAATGTTAGGGCCAGAAGTTCCATATCCGAGCGACATTGGAGCACTCCTCTATCTTGCAAATTACACCAGGCCTGATATTGCATTTGCGGTAAACTTGCTAGCAAGGTATAGTGCTTCTCCTACAAGGAGGCATTGGAATGGTGTTAAACATATCTTTCGCTATCTTCAAGGTACAAAAGATCTGAGACTATTCTATAAAAGAAACCAAGATATGACATTGGTGGGCTATTCGGACGCTGGCTACATGTCTGATCCCCATAACGTCAGATCCCATACTGGTTATGTCTTTCTCTGTGGTGGTACTGCCGTTTCTTAGAGGTCTGTTAAGCTGATCATGGTGACTACTTCTCCTAACCACTCAGAGATTATCGCTTTATATGAGGCTTCACGAGAATGTGTAAGGTTAAGATCGTTGATACGACACATTCGTGGCTCGTGTGGTCTAGCAAAAGACGATATTACCCCCACTGTCCTTTATGAGGACAATGCAGCTTGTGTTGCACAAATGATCAGTGGATATGTAAAAGGAACCATGACAAAACATATTACGCCAAAATTCTTTTATCCACATGAGCTCCAAAAGAATGACGAAATCACCATCGAAAAAGTTTGCTCAAGTGACAATCTTGCAGATTTGTTCACTAAATCTATGCCTATATCAACTTATGAGAAATATGTTCACAATATTGGTATGCGCAGACTTAGAAGACTATCGTCTTCATGGGGAGCAAATTCTTAAAGAACAATCCTGAAGATTGGGACTTGAAGGTCTATCATCATATTTTTCTCTTTTTCGCTAAGTTTTGTCCCACTAGGTTTTTCTTAGCATAAACTCAGAAGATTGTCATCATCAGGGGGAGCGAATTTTCAATGCAATCCCGAAGATTGTGCCTTGAAGGACTATAGTTATACTTTTTTCCTTTTGCTAAGTTTTGTCCCACATGGTTTTCTTAGCCAAAGGTTTTTAATGAGGCAACTAATGCTACACAAGAATCTACTTATGTCATGTACTCTTTTCCTCAACTAGTTTTTCTCCCACTGGGTTTTTCTAGCGAGGTTTTTAAAGAGGCATTGACATCTCGAAGTAATGTCCAAAGGGGAGTGTTGGAATCTAAAAGACAAAATGTATGTGGACATTACTTTGTATGTGGACAATTAACTTGATGTCTTTTCATTAGCCCAATGTCCTTTTATCTTCCATAATGTATCTATAAATTATACCATGTATGGAAATGGATGATGAGGAAAAAAATTACAATTTCTCTTCTTCTCTTGTCTCTTGTCTCTTGTTTTCATTTCTTTAGTATATTACAATAGTATATATATATATATATATATATATATATATATATATATATATATATATAAAACTAATAAAATGTGTGTGTATGTGATATTGAGCTTTAAAGTATATACACACAATTATAAAATCTAAACTAATTATACCCAAGCAATTGGTTTTCAATAAGCTCTTCTTGGTAAACTTTTCGGATGAAGCTTGATCTTGGATCTTGACTTGAAATGTATTGCTTCACTCCACTTTTCCGTCATCCTGCATTGGATATGATCGTGAAAACTCGATTCCATCCATCCTCCAACTGATTGTTTTTCTAGAATACCTAATAAGAAAACATAAACACTAGACAAACAATATTAGGGATTGTTTGTAAATCATCATCAAAACAAGAAGGCCAACAGTCTTGTCGTGCACTATTTGATCTTTCGAGCTCCGCTGCGCACAACATGACACGGTAATACCCTTCTCACATTAATATGATTTGGCAAAAACAAAACTAAAGGCATTTATGTCTCAATAACATAGCTTAGAGGAGCATGACATAAGAAAGTGGATATACGTTGCAATGGGAATTCATTAGGAGCAAGTGCCCACCACGGGCTTCTGCAGGTCTATGTGCTCCCGTGGCAGAATTGGGTATGCAAACATCTCGTAGGTCGTTTCTTTCTTTCTTTCTATTTTTTTTCCCTATATACATCAACTGGAGTAACTACCACTAATTAAGATGTGTCCGTATACGCAACTATCCCATTTACATACTCATCTGATAGGTCTGTTGGCAGTGTAGACTTTGGAAATTGCATGCTTGTAAATTGTTTTATCTGCACACTAATGCTAATATAACTTCTTTTCTTCTCTCTACTTACCAAAGTTATATACCATAGTTCTAAAGTTCAAAAAACATCAGGCAATACACCATGCGTCTTCTACACTTAATTGTTATAAAAGTTTTATCAGAGTAAAAAAATGTTAAATTAAGTACTACTAGCTTATGTACCTCCAAGAACTTTTGTTTTTTTTAATATTATCTCATAAATCTTCTTATTTTTGTTAATTTATCCTCAAATCCATGATGAAATCCATATTGTAGCACTCCATTTACCTTCCAGTCGAAATCTAACAAAATAAGATAGAATTATTATTTTACCTTTTAATCTTTTTCCCTTTAACCTTCTTTCTCCTCATTTACTCCTTCAAAAAACGCCAAACATAACTTTAACTTTTCATCTCGTACCAAGAAGAGGGAGGGAGGAGGGCGGAGGTTTGTTAATTTGTTATCATCACCTTCTGGACCGAACCCCTTATTTCCATAAAATCGATTCTATATGCATTATTTTCTTCTTTATTTTTGGACTTCCATAATCAATGAGCTAGGCCCAGGGAGTTGTGTATTCAGTTTCATAGAATAATACATGAATACTTTTCTCTTCTTTGGTTTGCACTTACAGGTCCTGACCGTTTGATCATAACCCTACTCACACTGTCCACACACTTTAATGAAAATGCCCAACATCCA